GGTGTTTTAACTTATGATGTTTCTTTGAAACAAAATTTTCAATTAAGAGCTGCATTGATGTGGACAATTAGCGATTTTCCGACGTATGGAATGTTATCAGGATGGGCAACCGCAGGGAAGCTAGCATGTCCATATTGTGGGAAACATACACAAGCTTTTAGGTTTGAAAATGGTAAGAAGATATCATGGTTTGATTGTCATAGAAGATTCCTCACCATTGATCATCCATATAGAAAAGATAAAAATAAGTTCAAAAAGAATCGTGTAGAGACAAAAGGTCCTCCTCCAAGTATGAATGGTGAAGAAACCATAAGGCAAATTGAAGAACTTGGTTTGTTAAAAGTGATTGAACTTAATGCCGACGTAGTAAATAAATCACGTGGCAAATGTGGTTGGAAAAAGAGAAGCATATTCTGGGATTTACCATATTGGAAAACAAACCTCATTAGACATAATTTTGATGTTATGCATATTGAGAAGAATTTTTTTGAGAATATGTTTTACACTATAATGGATGTTAAGAAGAAGACAAAGGACAACGCAAATGCAAGAGATGATCTGAAACTCTATTGTAAGAAGAGAAAAGGAGTTGATCAAAATCAAAGAGCATATTATGCATTAGAGAAGAGGCAAAAGAAAGTCGTATGTGAATAGGTAGAGAGTTTGAGTTTCCCCGATGGTTATGTTTCAAATTTGGGGAGGTGTGTAGATTTGAGTGCATGTAGACTGTTTAGAATGAAAAGTCATGATTGCCATGTTTTTATGCAAAGATTGTTGCCGATTGCATTCCGCGAGATGTTGCCAAAAAATGTGTGGGAAGCAGTTACCGAGATAAGTCTTTTCTTCAAAAGCTTAACTTCAACAGTAATTACAACAGAAGACATGAAAAGGATTGAAGCTAAGATCCCAGTAATTCTTTGTAAATTAGAGACCATCTTTGTCCCTAGTTTCTTTGACTCGATGGAGCATTTGCCGATACATTTGCCGTACGAAGCAATGATAGCCGGTCCCGTGCAATATCGATGGATGTATCCATTTGAGAGGTTTGTTTTGTAGATCACATTGTATTTCAAAATTGTAAGTTTTCACTCTTGGCTAATGTATCAAATGTTATACTTTAGATTTCTTCACCAGTTGAAAAAAGATGTGAAAAATAAAGCTAGAGTGGAAGGGTCGATTTGCAATGCATACTTAGTTCGTGAAGCATCAAACTTTTGCTCTCACTATTTTGAGCCTAGCCTTCATACACGTAACAGAAAGGTGCCTCGAAATGATGATGGGGGAGTTGAAGATGATGATGACAACGACAAATTAACTATATTTTCATATCCTGGCCGCCCATATGGGAAACTCAAAAGTAGAAGTCTGACTGATGAGGAATTCAATGCAGCACATTCTTACATATTGGTTAATGAAGAGAAGATGCAACCTTACGTTAGGTAGTATTATGAACAACATTTAAGTTGGTTTTTATTTAATCTCATAAGTTTACACAATTTAAATGGTAATGTACAGGAAGTATGAAGAGTCATTAAAAGACCTAAATCCGGATATAAGTGAAGATGATCTTGCTGTTGAAGTGGATGAAAACTTTGCTACATGGTTTCAAAACTATGTGAGTTTTTAAGTTGTTTTCTTTTCTTTTGAGAAACTTCTAATGTATTTCATTCTTTTTCATATAGGCACACCAAAATGAAATAAAGAACAAGTACATACATGATCTTTCTAGAAGACCATTGAGGACTGTGAAATTATATAATGTATACTTTGTAAATGGGTACAAGTTTCACACGGAATCACACGGTGCAAACAAATCAACAATGAATAGCGGAGTGTGTATAAGTAGCCCATTTGGTGATTACTATGGAAAGTTGTTGGAAATATTATAATACTTGCAGTTGTCACGAAAAATATTTAAACTAAGATTTAAATAAAAAAAACTAGAAACTTTATATTGAAAACTATTACCAATGAGAAAAACAATGTTACTTCAGGTTCAATGTCGGATGATTAAGACTTACGTGTTTATCTTCCCCTAAATTCCAATTTAATTACCTAGACATAATTAAGGTCAATTAACATGCAATAAATAACTTTGGGCACACAATATGTTATTCCTACTAATTGTCTTACTCCCTATGTCTAAATAGATTGGGAACAATGAGTGGCTTGGCAATATTGTGTCTTATGATTACCAATTACAATGTTTAGCATTTAAAATCACAAGTTTGGAATAGTATATGTTGATTCAACCAATCGTCTTAGTTCCTAAACTATATGAATTCGGCACGATTAGTGAATTGACAATAAACTATCTTAATTGTAAAATTAAACACATGAATAACACCCAACTTCAATTATCATTAATAGAAATCATAAATTTAAAAACATATAATAACCAAAGTTGATTGGAATAGAAGTAATAATCAAAACACATTCATCAAATCATCCTAAACATTCCCGAAAGTAACCTAGTTGGTTTAGCCTTCCATAGAATTCACAAAACACAAAACTTGAATAAAAACAATGTAATTCATATTAAAATTCATAAACCAACTTTAAATCATAAAACTAATAAAATCTAATGATCAATCAATCATTGAACGATGAAATCTTGGAGAAGAAGTAAACAAATCTGGAGTTTGATGAAGATCCACCGGTTGAACGAGTTCAATTGTTGAATGATGATGAACTTGGTGATTTGTAGCCTTGGATTCGGAAATTGATGATCAAAACCTCGTTTGGAGAATGTTTGGAAGTGTTTGGAACCCTCCAAAACTGGTGAAAATCGCAGGGGAGGAGTCCAAAGTCGATTAGGGTTAAATCTCCTTTAAATAGGTGCTGAAAAACTGATTTTCGGAGCTGTTTTCCGCGTCGGCGTCCTAGTAGGCATCTTAGACGTCATATAGGACGTCCAAGTGTCCTTCGGGGCATTTTACATGCCTTCTGCCATCCTTGATTTGCACTTGAAAATGGCCTAAAACCGATAGGCGTCCTAGGGGGGCGTCTTAGATGCGTTCTAGGACGTCTGTCATCTTTGTCACTCCTTTTTGGTGATGAAAACCGTAGAATCAGTAAAAACGCAAAACATGAAAATTGCAGGAATTTCTTTCTAGTTTCCAGAACTTCTTCATTCATGTCAATCGGAGCTCTAGATATTGAGATATGATCAAAACATTGAAGAGTGGTTAAATTTCTCAACACCATTTTTCTTCATTCCTTTAGCAATTCGTCTCCCACGCTTGTTAACTTCAGTTTGCTCAATTTTTTCTTGCGGGTTCCGCACACTTTTAGTATAATATATTGACCTGCATATGAATTCCAACAACTTATCAAAGTAGTGTCATTCTTCGACAATTATACATCAATTCAATAGATTTGTGACAATTTAACACATTCATAAAATAGACTTATCAAACCTCGCCAACTTTATTCCAAACTCGTCCCGAGATTGGCCTGAAATAATCAGTGTATTCTTACTTTCTTATCCTAAGAAAAACTCAATGGAATCACGAATTCCGTACATTTTATCACAATACTTTCAATAAGCACAATATATTGATTTTGGGGATTATTAGTTTCATATGCCGACCTTTAAACTCAAAACACATGTTATGCTTATTTTACTTTGTTGGTTGAAACCCTTAACTTTTTGAACCCTTTCCAATAATCAACCTCATGAGTAATCAGTTGAACTCATTGCCAAAGTCCCCATTTCAAGGTTCACTAACATAGTTAACGCGGTCGGTAACACTTAATGGACCAACCCATACACTCCCGCTATCGAGGGGTCACATATTGTTTCACACAATGTCTAAAACTTGAACTTTTCTTCACATTTATCTTGATTGTGGATTTTTCAAGTTCTTTGATGGCTTCATCGGATTTGATCATTTTTGTATTTGACTTGAGCTTGATTATATATACTTTGAAGTTCTTCAATATCTTTTGATGCTTTTTGGTTGTGTGAAAACAATAATAGTCCCCTACCAACCCCAAAGGCGCAGGAGTAAGTAAGACCAAGTACTCAGAGCGTGATGACACATATTGTTCGGTTGGGTCCTCAATTGAAAGATCGTGGGCTCGAGCCAAAAACCTTCATTTTTCAAACACTTGGGTATTTCACATAACAATTTTTTTTAAATAAATATAGATATTACCACACCAGCTGAGCAATCCACAAGATCAATATTAAATAAATATTGTGACTCAATGTACGAAACTCCTATCATTTTCCATTTTAATGAGTTGCATTCAAGATATAGAGATGCTACTAACTCATCAAATATTTCATGGAACCAACCCAAGAGAGAATAATAATAATAATAATAATAGGTTCAAGATGGCAGTACATTCATCCTAAGTTGATTCTCCAAAAAAAAAAAATCCTCAAAGTTAATGTAAAAGAAATTAAAAATATGGAGGACGACCCACTTGATGGTACTGCTAGTAGAGGTGGTTTTGATTTCCAAAAAACTTCACTTTTTTAAAAAAAAATCACTTTTTCTTCAATCCTCCATCTTTTTCTTGTGTACACCCCCTCCCCAACTTTAAGTATTGCATCGTCCTCGATGCATTAAAGATAAATTCCTAAAATAATAAAAAAACAACTACAAGCACACAAATCAAATAAAATAGAAAATAAACTACACTAACTAGCCCTCAATTTCGTCGGGGTCCACGATTGCACTTGGCACGTGCAACAAGCCTTTTAAACCCCTAGGTTAACCTTAGTGGGCGAGTGAAGTCTTGTGAGGGTTTGCAATGAACACACCCACAAAGTTTCAAAATTGCCAAGTTTAATGTCATTAGCGGGACGAGTTACCTTGAGTGATGTCTATGGAGGCTCATATATTCGGGGCTTTTTTGAAAGTCAACCATGAGGTTGCTCACCTTACTTTGAGGAACCTGATCATGTAGAAAACCTTTTTTGGCCTTGTGAAAATCAACTATTTTGCATTTAATCCTTCCACAATGATGCTTAAACCTTTTTTGAAGAGTCATGCATCTTTCCATCTAGTAAACTTCTTTAATCGATGCTTGATATCATGTAACGCTTTCATTTTTGATTTGTAGGCATGTGTTGCATCATGTTTTTTGTTCCACAACTTTCTTTCCATGTGTTGAATCCCACTATTATCCAATGATTTTGACCTGTTACATGAGAAAACTTTCTCCAAATCGAGGGTGGTGTCGGAGAGCATATTTGTTGTATGCTCATAGACATAATCATGAATAGTATTGATTACACAGTAATCACCACTGATTAGAGAATCATTAGTAGGTCCAAACACAAGACATCTCACCTTATGGTTTCCAAATAACATATCAATTGCACCTTCGTGACAACCAATCTGAGCATAGATGGTTGCTAATAAGGGGCGGTCAATGATTAAATTTGTTTGTTTGTATTTGGAATTTATTTTAGAATCCGTTAGAACAAAAAGTTGTGCTTCATGTTTTTTCAAAATTATTGTGTAGGGGATGGTATTAGCCTCCACAAACCCCTCCCCAACTTTGGACTCTTCCAACTCATGAAAATCTTCATTATACTTATCCAATTCAATTTCAACTTCTTTGATTTCAGAAATACTCTCAGTCTTCTGATCATTTAAAGATACATAATCCTCCACCACAAGCTCTAATTCAGGTTGTGTAAGTTTATGCACTTTGTTATCAAATAATTTATCACTACATGGAAAAGTTACCTCATTAACCAGCGTAGTGTTTGAAAGATTGTCTGAAGGTTGTTGATTGAGGTTCTTAGCTATATGTTCTAACTGTTTTTCAATAACTGAAATTGACTTGGAGTTGTCTTCTTCTTTGTTGAAGGTTTCAGTCAATATGTCCAACATTTGATCCAACTTTTTGCTAAATGAAGATTCATCTGATTCATGGTCCTCCAGAAAACAAGGTGATTCATGGTGTTGGCTTTGAGTTGAATCGTCAGTCCACCAACAATCATCATGATATGGATCATCACATGTATCATCATTATATGACTCATAGTAGAGATCATTATAACATTGATATTGGCTTGAATTTTCTCTCTCCCACCACATATCTTGATTCAATTCTTCCATTCACCACTGTGCCTACAAAAAAATAACAGTAAACAAGTGAAGATTCTAAACTAAAAATAAAACAAAAAAAATATAAAGACTACTTCAACACAATAATTCAAGTGCACAATCTCCCAGGCAACGGCGCCAAATTTTGATCGAGGTCGTTGTCTCAATAAAAAATAACCTCAAAACCACTAGATAGCTAGGGTAAGTAAGGGTCGAATCCACGAGGAGTTTGTGGTCAAACTTTGTGCTATAGTAGTCAATGAAAAAGAACTAATACTTGCAGTTGTCACAAAAAATATTTAAACTAAGATTTAAATAAAAAAAACTAGAAACTTTATATTGCAAACGATTACCAATGAGAAAAACAAGGTTACTTCAGGTTCAATGTCGGATCATTAAGACTCACGTGTTTATCTTCCCTTAAATTCCAATTTAATTACCTAGACATAATTAAGGTCAATTAACATGCAATAAATAACTTTGGGCACACAATATGTTATTCCTACTAATTGTCTTACTCCCTATGTCTAAATAGATTGGGAACAATGAGTGGCTTGGCAATATTGTGTCTTATGATTACCAATTACAATGTTTAGCATTTAAAATCACAAGTTTGGAATAGTATATGTTGATTCAACCAATCGTCTTAGTTCCTAAACTATATGAATTCGGCACGATTAGTGAATTGATAATAAACTATCTTAATTGTAAAATTAAACACATGAATAACACCCAACTTCAATTATCATTAATAGAAATCATAAATTTAAAAACATATAATAACCAAAGTTGATTGGAATAGAAGTAATAATCAAAACACATTCATCAAATCATCCTAAACATTCCCGAAAGTAACCTAGTTGGTTTAGCCTTCCATAGAATTCACAAAACACAAAACTTGAATAAAAACAATGTAATTCATATTAAAATTCATAAACCAACTTTAAATCATAAAACTAATAAAATGTAATGATCAATCAATCATTGAACAATGAAATCTTGGAGAAGAAGTAACCAAATCTAGAGTTTGATGAAGATCCACCGGTTGAACAAGTTCAATTGTTGAATGATGATGAACTTGGTGATTTGTAGCCTCGGATACGGATTGATGATCAAAACCGCATTTGGAGAATGTTTGGAAGTGTTTGGAACACTCGAAAACTGGTGAAAATCGCAGGGGAGGAGTCCAAAGTCGATTAGGGTTAAATCTTATTTAAATAGGTGCTGAAAAACTGATTTTCGGAGCTGTTTTCCGCGTCGGCATCCTAGTAGACGTCTTAGACGTCATATAGGACGTTTAGACGTCCTTTGGGGTGTTTTACATGCCTTCTGCCGTCCTTGATTTGCACTTGAAAATGGCCTAAAATGGGTAGGCGTCCTAGGGGGCGCCTTAAACGCGTTCTAGGATGTCCATCATCTTTGTCGCTCTTTTTTGGTGATGAAAACCGTAGAATCAGTAAAAATGCAAAAAATGAAAGTTGTAGGAAATTTTGTGTAGTTTCCAGAACTGTTTCACTCATGTCAATCGGAGCTCTAGATCTTGAGATATGATCAAAACATTGAAGAGTGGTCAAATTTCTCGGCACCATTTTCTTCATTGCTTTAGCAATTGGTCTCCCACGCTTGTTAACTTCAGTTTGCTCGTTTTTTCTTGCGGGTTCCGCACACTTTTAGTACAATATATTGACCTGCATATGAATTCCAACAACTTATCAAAGTAGTGTCATTCTTCGACAATTATACATCAATTCAACAGATTTGTGACAATTTAACACATTTATAAAATAGACTTATCAGTGCATGCAATAGTGGAACTCGGAAATTTTTTTTATGGTGCATCACATGTATCACCGCGGAAAATTTACACCACACCAAAAAATTTCCTAAAATTCCGCCCCTGTAAGTAATGTCATCTTTATTTTAAGAAAACAATCTCCATTTTACAATTAACATCTTGCAATTAAAAAAAAAACCAACAATTACATATTCCAAATGTCTTGCAAGTGATTTTTACATGTAGTTTTGTATCTAATCAATACTTGTGTGAATTCACTAAGTATTTTCTATGCATTAAGTTTTATTTGAATATGGTTTGTTTAGACATTGCATTTATTATATTTAAGAGACAAAACTGCAAAAACGGTTCCTATGGTTTTTTTTAAGAAAAAAGTGAAAACCATGATAAAATTAGATTGTTTGTACTTTTGAACTTGCTTCTATATGGAAAAGGTCTACCAACTTAACACCCATTAAATTATGACAAAGCTACAAAAATGGTCCCCGTGGTATGCATTTTTTTAGGGTTTTAGTTCAAACCCCAAGCTTTTTGGCTTTGTGGTCGTTTTGGCCATGTTTTCTCGTAAATTTGGTCCCTCGTAAAATTGAAATAACTGTAATGCCCTTCTAATATTTTTTTTATGTTTTTTCAATTTAATTTAAATAAAAAAGAAAATAATTAATTAGTTTGGCCCACATCTCTCTCTCTCTCTCTTTCTCTTTCTCTCTTTCGCTCTCTCTCTCTCTCTCTCTCACACACACACACACACACACACTCACACACACCTGATCGTTTTGTTCTTCAAATAAACCCACAACCCCATTGCCACCGAAAGTAATCTCAGCCTTTGCCACCGCTCATCCGCCATTATCTATCATAGCAAAAGCCTAAACTTCCCAAAATCAAGAACCAACACAAGCTTCTCATATCTAAACTTTTTTTGAACATATACTACAACAACAAGAAAAATTACAGTTACAAGAATCCTAATCCCCCCAAACTTTAAATAAAAATCAAGATGTAGGTTCAAAAACTCATAATCCTAAGAAAACTACGGGTTTGAGATTGGGGTTTGAATGTAATCATACGCATGAGGAAGAATTTGAATCACGGATAACCTGATAAAAACTCAGCTTTCGAAACCTAAAACTTGAAAAACCCTTCCTAATCGCCTCCACCGCCATCTCTCCCCTCCTCCCCTTCCCCAACGACTTCCCCATTAACGTCACCACTCCTTTCATTGTTTAACCTCTTTATCAATCAAATCTTCTCTGCCTTTTCCTGACTGGAAAAAGCCAAAATCATAAGAAAAAAAAACTACATCAAAACAGAGAGAAAGGAGAAGGGAGATATGGTAGTTGAAGTGAATGTTGGTAGGATTGTAGTTGGGTGACGGTTAAAGTTAAACTACACACCACCAACTTAGGCTTTTCTGCTTGCGTTTCTCAATGAACCCGATTTGGGGTTTTTTTACCTAACTCAAAACAAAGATAAAAAGAGAAGTCAGATGTGTGGTGGCCAACAATCTCTTAACATGAGGTGTAGATAATGGTGGATAAACTTCCAATTGCAGTTTTCAATTGCATTCCTGCTTCCTAATCTTCCTTGAGCAACAAACAATCAAGTAGTAGAGAGAAGAAACATTAGGCCCTCAATAATTTTGTGAAGAAGATGATGGACGCATGATATTTTTTGTGATGAACGAGATGTGTAGATGGTGGCTTTAAATTTTATGATCAGTGGTGTTGGTTTCATGTAGATGGAGATGGGTTTGTTATACGTATACTCTTCAATATGTGTTTGTGTGAGTTATGTGTAAGTTTAAGTGTGTGTGTGAGAGAGAGAGTATGTGGGCCCCTATTTTTATTATATATATATATATATATATATATATATACTTATAGGAAAAAAAGAAAAGTAAAAAATAAATATAATAAGGGCAATTTAGTCTTTTCAGTTTATTGAAGGACCAAAATCACAATCAAACTACCTCAAAAGGAACATCAATCCAAAAAAGTCGTGGTTTGGACTAAAACCCCAAAAAATTACATACCACAGGGACCATTTTTGCAATTTTGTCTTAAATTATTGATGTTACCTCCCTTACATGCCCCCTCCCACCTGAGGGCAAATCCTTTTTTTTTCATTTGATGGACCATTTTTACAAAGAATACAAATTATATATCCCTTTTAAATTCTTCCCCTCCACCGGTAACAACCTTCCCTAACGTCTCTATTCTTCTTCTTCTTCTTCTTGATCTCTTCCATAAACAATGGTGGTTTGTTTTTGTGGAAGATGTACCTGAGTATACAAAATTTATGCTATTTTCATTTGAAGTCACATCTCTAGTTTATAGCGTGCCATCATAAAAATATTATAAATTTAAAAGATAAAAACGACTGTGTTTTGGCTATAGGGATAATGAATGCGTGTTTAGTATCCTACTGACCATGTTTCTTAATTTTGAATGTTATTTAAAATCTGCTTTTACCTTTAAAAGCCCAGATTTTAAAGGGGCAATTGTTATGGGTGAAAATTCTGAAGTGTAATTATTGTCTATAGCGATTAGACATAACATGGAGATTATGACTAGTGTTTAGGAGTATTTAATGGATATTTAAATATTGGATTTCATGGATTCAAACACAAGTAATTCTGAGATGATAATATCTTTTATTCTGAAAAATGAGAGATCTTGAGTTCTTTGCCTACAAGTTGGTTGTGTATTAGTCTTACTCTAAAGTTATCTGTAAATGGTGGTCATAATGAGTAAGTCTATACATGATTTGGCGAGTAAAGAAAAGCTATGTAGTCAAAGTATATGTGTTCCTTTTACCATAGTAGGAAAAACGATATTGTATGCCCCTTGATGATTTGATGTTGGCATTCATGTGTTAAGCCAAGCTCGGACTAAATTTATTTGTTCAATTAGTAGTCTGATTTGATCATTAGAAATCGGAAATTGAATAACATAATGTCGAACTGTTAGGTTGATTCATAATCCATGACTCATTTCACAACGATATCTTGTAGAAACAAAGGATTAGTCGATCACTTATCCAATGGTTGATTTTTCATTAGACTAGAATTCGATAGATGTTGTGGAAGGCACATTATTGATCTTCGTTATCATTTCATCAAGGATCATGTGGAAGATGGAAATATTGAAGTGCATTTTGTGAAAACAACACATCAGTTAGCTGATATTTTCACAAAAAATTAGATGAAAAGTCTTTTGTAAGAATTTTGGAAGGACTTGGAATGATCGATGGAAATTCTGTTCCATGCGAAAAAGAAGATTGATGGGTAAAAAGGAATGGTTCATAGACATGTCATCAAATAAAAAGGAATGTCATTCAGTATTCAAAGGTTATTGTTCATTGTCAACTCTTCGAATCCTTCGAATTCGTATATTTGTCATTTTTTAATGAGCGTCTAAATTTCCTAAGTTTGCAACAACTACATTTCTATTTTTTTTTTCCGAAAAATCAAAAATTCCAAAAAGCTTTTTTTTTTTGTTTTTCAAAAATTCAAAAAACAACAAAAATATTTTGTTTCTTCTTTCTTTTTCGTTGATTATTGCAGATGTTCATGCTGAATTACCTGGTGTTGTGCTTGCAGTTCTACGGTCAGGTATTTTTCACACTTTGAACTAGTTAAGATGTCCCTAGAAGCATGCTGCAACATGTTGACCAAAGCCTCTAATTGACTCAATGTGTATGTTCGAAAGCCTTAATGAAAATTTTCATACGAAGATTTCTTCCCAATCAGGCTTGTATTTACGTTAGTCTTCTGAGCTACCTAATTCTTCTCACATGAGTTAAGAGTTTACTGTTTGATCCAAAAATAATAGAGTTACATGTTGATTCTTATACCAATCTTTTTCATCTCAAAATTCTTACACAATCACACACGAAGACATATGCCCAAGAGGTTTCTGATCAAACCAATCGAAACATAGATATATCACAAATCTGTGTTTATGATCAGACATCATGAGACCGTGATGAAAGTGAAACCCAAATCTCTCAACATTTAAGGAATTGATGGGGAACTATGTTCTAGGTTTTAACGAAACATTTGTTTCTGTATCCACATTCGAAAGTAAAAATCATATTCATTTCTTATGAGTGGTCTTGGTCAAACATTCGAAACCCACGATGTTTGTTACCCAACATGATCCAGTACACAATTTTTTTTAATATGATTTAAGTGTGAGTTTTATCCGAAATTCAATGTCAGTTAAAAGTTTTCCAAAGCAAACTTGTCACTGACTACACTGGTCAAACAAGTAATTTCTGTTACACTTACTCACCTTATGTTTAGGTTGATATGTAACGAAATTCATTAAGCCACCTCAAAAGCCTTTTAAAAGAAGCCCTTCGATACTTCTTTACAAGTATTTGATTGTAATTCACGAGAACATACACAAGCTGTTGATTATCTTTCTTGATGATTAACGAAGCAATCTTTGCCCGAGGTTTTAATTGCCTTCGTGTCAAATTGAATTTTTGACATCACTAAATACCAAAAAAAATTGTTATTGCTTCTTATCTATATTCTTTGAAACATTACAGACACAAAATCCTTGAGGCTCCGAGTAATACCAACTCAGGTGTAACAGCCCGGAATTTTTAGGTATTTATTATTGGGTTATTTTTGGAAATTGTGAGTGGACTCGGCGAGTTGGAGCCCAAACTCGCCGAGTAGGATCGCGGTTTTGGGCACGGGTTCGCGTCCGGATTCGGCGAGTCCACGCTGTGTGGTGAAACCCTAATTTCCAGGGTTTGAGACCTATTTAAAGGGCCTTATGGCCGTCATTTGTGCTCACCCAACCCTTAGAGAGAAACCCTTGAGTGCTTGAACGTTTTGAGAGAGAAAGGAAGCATTTCTTGACCTTGTGTGTGCATTTAGCAAAGGAGGAGATTCTAAGCAAGAGGAAGCAAAGGAGGTTGCTATACTGTGGATTTGAAGCTTATATCATCGATCTAGAGGTATGATTTCGGCTCATCTTCTGTTTTGTGAAGTATAATGGGATTTAGGGTTTCTTATGGTCATTATTGGGTTGATTTGATGCCAATTAGTTCCCTTCTTGTGTTGAGGCTCTGGATCTGGATCCATAGAGGTCCAAAGAGCCTCACTCATCAAGCTTTATGTATAGCAATGGAGTTTATGACCTTGAGTTGTAGTAGATGGGTCAAAAGCATCATATATGGTCATATAGATATTGTATGTGCATCAAGATAGTGACTTTACGTGCTAAATAAGCTTGGAAGGACTGGATCTATGGATTAATGGATTGGATCTGACTTTATGAGCAAGTTTGAGTCATTGCATGGCACGGACTCGCCGAGTCCAAAGAACAGACTCGGCGAGTAGTATGAATATTGCCCCGATCACACAACGTGTGGTCTTGCCGAGTTGGAGAGGGTTGACTCAGTGAGTCAGGAGAGAATCAGAGTGGACAGGTGGACTGAATCAAGCTGGACTCGCTGAGTTGTTCTTGAGACTCGGCGAGTTGAGTCGTGGTGGCCCCACAACTCATGCCAGGTGGAACTCGTCGAGTTAGGAGAATACTCGACGTGTCAAGGGAGGATTCCAGGGAAGTCAGTGTATACGCTCAGACTCGCCGAGTCGCTATAGTGCACTAGCCGAGTCCGGTCAAAGTTGACCGTTGACCGTTGACCAGCGTTGACCTAAGTTAACTTGTTAAAGGGTAGTAACCTTAGTTGGGAAAGTGTTAATTAGAGATGTATTGTGCTATAGGAGGACTATAGCTTAGGAGATCGAGAACTAGTGATTTCAGGACTTACGAATTACCGAGACACGTGAGGTGAGTCTTCTCACTATACTCTACCTTGAGTAGGTAACCAGAGTTATGTGATAGAGTATTTGTATGCTATGTATGTTATGTGTTGTACTGCATTATTTCTATGTGATTTATGCTGTGCATGTTTACAGAGTTAGAACCTGAGGGTTTACAGAGTTTGGGTGCACGGACCCACAGAGTTATAGCCTCGAGTGGCTAATATGTGTTATATGTGGTATTTTGGGGAACTCACTAAGCTTTGTGCTTACAGTGTTTGATGTTATTTGTTTCAGGTACTTTAGATGATCGCGGGAAGGCGCCGGCTTGATCAGTACACACGCATGGGAGTTATGATTTGAGATCTTGGGATTTTGTATTTTCTTGAATTGGATAATTAAATGTGGTTGTTTTCTGAATATTAAATGAATTATGTTTTATAAAAATTTGAAAATTTTGTTTTGAAATTTACGGTGTTACATCAGGATGATGATTTCAAAACTCTGGAAAATGACTTTACTTTGAAACCCTAAAGTAAAGGAGCCTTACTTCCATACGAAGTGTTCCAACGGTTAATATTCCATTGGGGCAAGCAAACCAGCCTGTTTAAGGGGACGTTTTGTATTATGTTCGGGTTTTGAGGAGACGTGACTGTTACTTTATCACACATGGTTACTTTATCATCATCATGACATAGTTTTCTCATTGACACATCAAATTTTATTAAATGCACATCCTGCTTTTATTTCAAAATCAAGGGTTACATATAAAAGGGGATTCAAGGGTTCATTATCAGTTTACGCTTTCAAACTTAATAATTCCCAAATACTCTCTAATAAACATCAAGCTTTCAAACCCTAACAATGGAGACTGCTGCTAATCCTGATGCAAATCTTTCTCACACCACTGATGATGTTATTTCATTGCCGATTATGAAGATTCAGGGTACGAATTATCAAGTGGAGGCAAATGTTTCTCAATACACTACAGAACTCAAGATGCTAATCGTTGCTTTGAAGAGTTCTATTTTATCAAAAGCTATGTTCAAATCATTTTTTGTTCCTCTTTCATGGCTCTCTCAAGCTGGATCAACTTTGGATGCAGTTACTTTCAATTTGGTGGCTGATAAAAAGGTCAGATGTTCCAAGAAGGTTTTCTATCAGATTCTCGACATCTCTAATTCCCCACCATATATCAATTTTACCTTTCCTCAAATTGTACATATTTTTAATGAAATGGGTCATCAACCTCAACTGTCAAAGGTAAGTGACTTCAAGAAGTATGGTCTTCCTAGTGTTTGGAATTTCTTGTTTTGTATTTTCTTGAGATGTTTGACTGGAAGAACAGTTGGTTTGGACAAGGGGAGAATGGAGGTTTATGCCATGGTAGCAGGGCTTTATTATGATCTTCAAGTGGATTACTCTACTCAATTATGGAAAGAATTTTTGAAGAGTATTGAAAACATGAATACTTTTCATGGCATTTCGTGTGCGAGATACTAGAGCTTGATCTTGTAGTATTTCTATGAGAAGGAGGGGATTATGCTCCCTAATGATGAAGAAAAAGATGCTTTTCTTGTTTACAGTTGTCCGAAGGTTGCAACTGATGATGTTGATGAGTTTCCTGTTGTAGCTCGTATTCCAGATGCAATACTCAAACGAGTCGATCCTACGAACACAGTCTTAGTTACTTATTTACAAACGATTGATACAACTGTTGAGACTAGAATTCTATTGGAAAGAGAAGAGACAAAGTCAAAACGTACAAAGAAGACTGATGCTGGTTCTTCTGAGAAACAAATCAAGGAGTCTAAATCTACGAAGGTTCCAAAGAAGTTACCAGTTACTAAAGAGAACCAAATTTACACGAAGTTTCAGTTGCTGATACACCCTTAACTCAAAAAGAAATTATTCCTTCGAAGACCAGTGTTTTTAGAATAATCAAAATAAAATCAATGCACAAGAGCCGATCTCCACTCATGAATGTTGTCCGAAAGCTACAAGTTACTCATCAAGGACTTCTATTTTGTGAAATTCCAGCGCCTGCTTCACCATCATCAAAGAAACGAAGGGCTGCTGATATGGCTAAACACATTTCCAAGAAGAAGAAGAAGAAAATCAAGATGATCATCTCTTCTGAGTCTACAGCTGGAGAAGATGAAACAATTCCAGAAACTCCTGAAGCCAATCTTAACAAAGATACTTCTACTCCTGCACAGAAAACTGTTATACCACTCAAAGATTCGGTTGCCAAGTCATTATATGAGGAGGCCCGAATTTCTAACATTCTTGTAAACATATCTAATACGGATGCAAATGTCATCATGGGTGAGGATGATTCAAAGAATGAAAACCAAGGTAAACCTTCGATTGTTACCTTAGAAACCTTTTTATCTTTTCCTCCACAAATCACACCTGTCATACCTACTACTTCCACCAATGATTCTCCTACTTTCGAAAACATTATCAAACAACCAATTACTTCTCTTTTTTCTTCACAATCCAATGATCCACTCACAACCACTTCACCAATTCAAGAGTCTATTTTTATGGAAACTAAACATGAATCGGAAGGTTTTGGAGGAACTTTTGAGAACTTGGAATTTGATGAAGAAGAACCTGATTTCCCCGATCACATGCTTATGACAATGAAGCAGTTTAAGATCTTAAATACAAAGCTGAATTCAATTCTTCAATCACAAGAAGATCTTGGGGGAGGCAATTCTGTGACGAGTTTAGAAGTTGATGGTTTGTTAAAACTACTAGAAGGAAGGATCACCTCAAAAGTTAAGAGCATGATTAAAGACTCTGAGTCTCGTCTTTTGTAGAAAGTTGATATTTGTGATCAAAACAATGAGATGAGGGTGAATTCTCAGAAATGTACATTTGAAGGTGATTTGAATGAATTGAGAATGGTGACAAAGGAACGTCATGTATTGTTCGTTCAAGATGTTAAGAAGGTAGGAGAGGATGTTAATTTTAAACTTCAAGAGCTTCACCAAGACATGGAAAAAGAGATTTCAGTTGTTCGCATATAATTTGCATCTCTAAATCAGAAGGTGGACATAATTTGTGATGGTGTGACAAAGTTTGCTAAGTTGTATGAAAGTTTGAGTCCTCAAATAGCTCAACTTTCTACAACTGAAAACAAAAATTTTATGGAATTCCTCATACTGTTAAAGAAGCTCAAAGCCTTATCTTCAAAACCAGCTTCGTCTTCTCAACTATCTTCGGATGCTCTCTTCCAGAAATTTTCTCAATTCGAAGCACTTCTTCCCCAACAATTGACTCCTCTTTCCTATATATCCAGTCTTCTTCCAACAAAAAATACCCTACCTGTTTTTACAGGGGTGCAAGGGGGAGAAAGAAAGGGTGAAGTTTCTAAGGTTGGAGGTGATGATGCGAAGGTGGTAGGAAAGGTATTTCCTTCGGAGATTACAACTACAAAACCAATTATAGCATCTGTTGGTTCAATTTCTTCGATAGTAGAAATGACTGTGCCAATTACAAGACCAATTTCGAAAGGAATTGTAGTTGGTAAATCTGCTGATATTGGTGGGAGTGATTCAAAGGTAAAAGAAGTAATAGAAGACTCAGCTTCGAAGGCAAGAGGAAAATCTATTTTGATAGAAAATTTAAAGGAAGAAAAGAAGGTTGAGGATGAGGTTGAACTGGAGAGGATGAAATTAGTACAGAGTATAATGACTCAAAGAGCAAGTGATCCTCTAGGCATGAACAAAGGTGATCCATCAAAGCATTACAAGTATGAAACAATTGAAGCCAAGGTTGCATTTAATCACATGTATTCATTCGAAAAGAAGCCAAAACGGAGTTATATTGGCACGCATACTGATGCAAGTCAATTGGACTTTCCAATCAATGAGATGATGTTCATTATGCCCCAGTTCAAAGCCGAAAGCAAATTCAAAGAGAAGGATGAAGGAATTTGTAACGCCCGTAGATCAGGCCTAGTCAATTTAGAGACGATAGGCGTCAAAAATGAATTTTTTGATGAAAGATTATTTAGAATGAATAATCTTAACTAAGTTGTAGTATATGTGACAAGGATTATGTACATATAAAGAACGCCGAAATCCGAGTTATAACGAAGAAGTTATGACCTATCGAAGTTTTGCGACAGAATCGGCACGACACAACGCGACGTAAAAAGTGAATTTACGTTAGAGAGATATTTAGCCTTAGACATCTAAATGAAAGTCATAGAATACGTTAAACCGTGAGCGTGCATAAAAAGAACGCCCAAATCTAACTTCGTATGAGGAAGTTATGATTTTTCAAAGTTTCGACTTAGCGGTATGCAACCCGGATACTCGATTTGAGACCGAGCGGTTTTTAGTCGAAACAATCTAAATGAGAATCAAAGATCTCATTAATTGTAGTAAAACTGTGACAATCGTCAATCTTGAGTCAAGTCGAGTCATCAAGTCAAACCGGTCAACTCGATTAAACCTTGTGTATTAGGGTTTGTGTTATGTTCATACTGTATAACTTGCTATATTAATGGGAAAACATCACTTGGGAAAAATCTTGTGTTAAAATTTCCTGAGCCTTAGTGCAAATCAATGAACTAAACTGATAAAACCATGTTGCATAATCATCGGGGGTGTGTAAGATCCTTAAATAGGCTTAACAGGGTTTACAAACCTTGCATTGCAAAGCCGGACACTCACATTTGTCACACACGAAACCTCTCTCAATCGTTTTCACTCTATCTCTTCTTATCAAGAATCTCTCCCAAATATCTCTTTGTATGAGAAATCTCTCCAAGAATGTTAAATCTCTCCCAAATCTCTCTAAGAATGTCAAATCTCTCCTAAATCTCTCTAAGAATGTCAAATCTCTCCCAACTATCTCTTCGTATGAGAAATCTCTCCAAGCATGTGAAATATCTCTCAAATATCTCTTTGTATGAAAGATCTTCAAGTGTGTGAAATCTCTCCCAAATCTCTCTAAGAATGTCAAATCTCTCCCAAATATCTCTTCGCATGAGAAATCTCTCCAAGCATGTGAAATATCTCTCAAATATCTCTTTGTATGAGAAATCTCTCCAAGAATGTTAAATCTCTCCCAAATCTCTCCAAGTATGTGAAATCTCTCCCAAATCTCTCTCAAAAGTTTCCCGTAACTTTTTAGAGTCATTCGGGTCATTCCAACCCTTAACCGGGTTAAAAACGGCTTAAAACGGGGTAAAAACGAGAAAAATGAACCTTAGGAACCGAAACCTCATTATAAGAAGAGAAGCCTCTTAGGACCTGAAGGTCCTCTTAGGGACCGAGAGCAAGAAGGGCCGAACCCGAGAGCAAGGAGGAACCGAACCCGAGCAAGGAAGAACCGAACCCGAGCCAGGAGGAACCGAACCTTGCGCACCACCCGAACCCGAAGGCACTATTCACCACTGTTCATTCGGCTCATTTCGGTTGGACACGTTCGCCTCTTATCTCCGGACCGAACCCTCTCGCCTTCGCCTCTCGCTTCCAGTTCGCCTCCTTTCGCTTCCACACCCCCTTCGTTTCCCTATGTTCGTTTCGTTTCCGGCTACAGCCCCCAGCAAGGACCGAACCTCGGCCTAGGGACCGAGAGGTCTCGCTGGGAATGCTTTTCTTCCCAGTTTTCGCGTAGTTTTGCGTTTAAGGCCCGTTTCTAATTATTTTAACGTGGGATTTTCACCCAAAATCATATTTTAACATAATAAACTCTAAATATTCACAATTTAATCATATTTTCATAAAAATCTTTATTTAAATAATAAAAGCATGTGGGTAAAGTACAAAGAGGTGGAGTGTTGACTTTGCTTTACCTTATGACACAAGCAACCACTCTCACACCCACTCTATGACCAGCCATACCTCCCCACCTTACCTAGGTCAATTCAATGTCCCTTACACTCAATTTCCACTCATTCCCACGTTTTTAGAGCTGGAACAAACATCCTCTCTCCTCATTTCTCTCATTTGCTCTCCTTTCACTAAGTATCAAACACCACTTTTCTCTCAAACTTTTTCTCCACCAAATTCGAGATTCAAGGCTGATTTTCAAGTGTTCTTCAACTCTTAGTAAGTATAATTCATCCTCCTTAAGATTATTTCACTTCATTCTACTCAAATCATTGATTTCTTACACAAACTCCATATCTATGATGTTAGATTTTCGAAAATCTTCAAGGCATCTCCAAGTGTTCTTGAGTTAAACACTTCCATTCTTCAACAATCATCTACTGAAATCACTCAAGGTGATTCATACCCCTACATTTTCATGTTTTCTCAAGTTTTCAGGGGGGGGGGGGGGGAATACAAGTTAAAACACCAAGAACATAACTAAATTTTTCTAACAGCCTTCATCAGAAAAGTTCAACTCCATTCACGGATTGTTTTGGGCATCTTAAACATATTTGTTTTCAAAACTGTACACGATGCAAATAGTTCAAGTTTCTAGCTTTAAAATGACTACTTGCACATCTCCATACGATTTTTCTACAATTTATGGTGATTTTTACAAAACTGCCTATCATTTCAAACAATGATCCGGACCAGTCTGTGATTTTGGACTTTTTCACCCAAGTTGGAGGTCATTAAAAATCGTGATAAAAATTATGAGTAAACTAGACACATTTTGTGAACTCTCAGAATTACGGATCTAGTTTTCAACTTCGTATTATTTTTCTATGATTTTTCCAAAACAGTGCAGAATGGCTAAAGTTAGCCAACAGCATATAAATATCATAACACTTTGTATTATGTTGAGCAAAGTGTATAATCATAAGTTCTAATTATTGAATGTGTTTCTTTGTTAGTTTATCATCATGAACTGAAACTAAGTCATTCGTAATAAATATTATACATTCATTTTAGAACAAGTATAATAAACTATAAAAAGTATAGTTTAATAAATTCATAACACTAATGCATTTCCATAAAAGAGTTCATACATATTACATACGTTTTAGATAAACTATAATAGGTATAGTTTATGATACATCACACAACACACTCGTACATAAAGGGTACATTCATACAGAAAAGATTTATATTCACACACATTTCACGTAAACTTGTTAACCTATATTGTGAGACATTCTCTCTTTCCGTACGTCCGAGTGCGGAATATAATTCCTGGTAGTTATAATCAGAGTCTCCCGGAAGGAGAACGTGATACTTGTATATAGATCTATATTGGGTTTGACACCCCACACCTTGCTGCTAGCTACAGTGGGACCTGCAGGTCAACGGGTGACAAATGTCATTTCATTTTCGCGACGCCTGAGAAACGTCGTGGTAGGTTCACATAGTCATAGTATGATTATAGCGACTCACGTAGGGAAATAACAATTCATAAAGTTTACGGGATTTCATAAAACCTAAGTAGGTTTTAGGTTGATTTAAATTAATTTTTTTTATATAAATTCAAACTCATGACATTTCTACTAAGTAACAATTATTTCTTATACATTTTGGTCTTTGGTCATAAGGCTACATTATACGGATTTTAAGGAAAATAGCGAATTTTTCTAAAACAAACGCGACATTTACATGAGAAAGACTTCTACTAAGTTTCATAACAAAAATTTATGAACTCACCAACCTTTGTGTTGACACTTTTCAAACAACTTGTATTCTCAGGAAATCACTAAACAGGAAATCAAGTGCTTTTGAGGATGGGACGTTAAGGCGTCAAACTTTCCATATTTTGTCAACATATTGTAATTGATTTTGAAACATGTAATTCATACAAGTGATGTAACTTTTTCAATTATATATATATATATATATATATATATATATATATATATATGTTGGTTGTGTTTGCTTAA